AACATAGACCCTGGAGGAAAAAACTGTGTGTGTGAATCTTGGCTGTACTATGTACACCCAGGGGCAACTTGGGTGCATTCTGTAACTTCTCGATGCCTTAATTTCCATCTCTCGTTAATTGAGGATAATCAAACCTACAGAATTGTTGGGAAGATTAAATGACACAGTCCCTGTGAAGCATTAGCACAGAACCCAGCACACAGATAGAACTCAATCAGTGACAGCTTTTCTAATTGTGGTAGTTGTTGATCATTTGCACACTCTTCACTTTCCCTTTTCTTCCTTCCCCTCTCTGCACTTTGCTTTTTAGTAACATGTCAACTCAATGAACATTTTCTGAGTCCCAGCACTGTGCCAGGACAAATATGATCACTACCTTGGGGAGCTTGCTGTCTTTTGAGGAGGCAGACACATAAACCATGAGGACAACAAAGCATGGCACATGAATGATCGACATTTTCACTGGTTTCCGTGGATGAAAGGGTGACAGTGGCAGTCACCATAATCAGGAAAGAAAGAGCTGAACAGGAAATGAAGTATAGAGGGAATAATCCTTGATTTAACTTTCAAAAAAAGGAGTGGAAGGGAGAAAAGACTTTTAGTCAGAGAGAACAGCATGCGCAAAGGCGGGGAGATGTCATACAGTGGGGTGGAGGGAAGAGTCAGTGGTTCAGCAGAACCTGCCCAGTGGTTCTCAAACTTGAGCCTGCACCTGAAGGCCCTGGAAGCCTTGTTAAGAAGCAGATTGCTGGATCCCTCCTCTAGAGTGTCTGATTCATTAAATCTAAGGTAGGGCCTGAAACTCTGCATTTTAAACAAGTTCTCAGGTGATACTCATGTTGCTGGTCCAGGGACCACACTCTGAAACCACTGGAAGGCCAGAGCATAGTGAGTGGAATTGGTTAGAGGAAAGTGGTAAGAAACAGAACTGGGCTTCACAGGTTTAGACTTTATAATTTAAAAACAATGGGCTGGGGACTGTGGCTCACGCCTATAATCCCAGCACTTTGGGAGGCCAAGGCGGGCGGATCATGAGGTCAGGAGATCGAGACCATCCTGGCCAACATGGTGAAACCCCGTCTCTACTAAAAATACAAAAATTAGTTGGATGTGGTGACATGCGCCTCTAGTCCCAGTTACTTGGGAGGCTGAGGCAGGAGAATTGCTTGAACCCGGGAGGTGGAGGCTGCAGTGAGCTGAGATTGTGCCACTGCACTCCAGCCTGGCGACAGAGTGAGATTCCGTCTTAAATAAACAAACAAACAAAACAGCAATGAAGTATTTAAGGAGAAAAGCATATGATCAGATCGATGTGGCATATATTGACTTTTTTTTGAGATAGGGTCTTGCTCTGTCACCCAGGCTGAAGTGCAGTGGCATGATCATGGCTCACTGCTGCCTCAACTGCCCCAGACTCAGGTGATCCTCCCACCTCAGCCTCCTGAGTGGCTGGGACTACATGCCAGCACACCTGGCTAATTTTTAGTAGTTTTTGTAGAGATGGGGTTTCGCCATTTGCCAAGGCTGGTCTTGAACTCCAGGGCTCAAGCAGTCTACCCGTCTCTGCCTACCAAAGTGTTAGGATTATAGGTGTGAGCTGCCATACCTGGTCCAAACTGAATTCTAAGGGCACAGAGCTTCAGAAGGGAAGACACTTGAGTTGAGTCCAAGTGAGTTTTGGGTGGTCTGTTGGGCACAGAGTGCAGGCTTGTGCTGAGTTCCCAGCCTCTAAGACCAAGCCTTTCCCCCTAAGCTGCTCCTTTTTCCTGATCACAGGATTAAAGCTACCACCCATGCCCTGCATCTCATGACTTCATTTCCTCGGGTCTCACCCTCTTCCAGACATCTTCAGCCTTCAGCGTTTCCCCACAACGCCTCTGCCTCCCACCCCCCAACCCTGCCCCAGCCCCATGCTCTTTCTGTTAGGCATAGTTTTTTTTTTTTAGACAGAGTCTCACTCTGTCACCCTGGCTGGAGTGCAGTGGCGCTGTCTCCGTTCACTGCAAGCTCTGCCTCCCAGGTTTACGTCATTATCCTGCCTCAGCCTCCTGAGTAGCTGGGATTACAGGCGCCCACCATCACACCTGGCTAATTTTTTGTATTTTTTTAGTAGAGATGGGGTTTCACCGTGTTAGCCAGGATGGTCTCGATCTCCAGACCTCGTGATCTGCCCGTCTCAGCCTCCCAAGGGCATAGTTTTAAGTCAAACCTTCAACACACAGAGTTCCACGAGTCACACTACCCAGCTACTCCATTTGTGTGCTATTATTGGTATTTTTTTAACCAAAATCTTCTCAATGAGTGGTCAATTGCCTGCCCCATTTCCTTACCCTTGGTTCCTACCCCTTCAGTCTCATTCTGTCACCAACCCTATAATGAAATAGCAACTTGTTTTTCTTTTTTACCTTAATTTCACCACCCCTACTACCACCAAAATGTCTTAAGAAAACTCCATATGAAGGGCTCCAGTAAAAATAGTTAATAAATGTTGAAAATACCAGAAAAGAATTGAATGTTTAGCCCTCCAAGCTTTTATTAACCTTCTATTTCAAAACAGCTTACAGAAGACTCACATGTGACGAGAATATATTATTGTTCCTAACTTAACTAACATAGTCTAATTTGTCTAAAATGAGGCTTAAGTAAAGTATAATTCCTAGAGCTGTATGTTTTAACTTTCCTGGTCTGTTTGCTCCTTAGAAACAGGATTTATCTACCTTCGTATCAAGTACTATAATGGAGCATACTATAATGAATTGTCCATTGCTTGTGTCTACATTTAAAATTTTTGGAGAGACCTGAGATAAAAATGGGGCTTGTCAAGCCCTGGGAGCATAAACAAATCTTATTCTTAAAGAATTCCTCACTCAACCAATCATTCTAAATAAATATAGAACATCCATTGACTATAGTTCAAGCTCTTGGATATATAACAGGAATTGGCCTAATTCTCAAATAGGCCGTTTTCTGAGTATTAGTAATAACCAGGGGACCCACACTTCTGTTTTGTACTTTCACCTTTCTTCTGGACCATTTCTTTCTTTCTTTTTTTCTTTTTCTTTTTTTTTTTTTTGAGACAGGGTCTTACTCTGTTACTCAGTGGCACAATCATGGCTCACTGCAGCCTTGACCTCCCGGGCTCAAGTGAATTTCTCACCTCAGACTCTTGAGCAGCTGAGACTACAGGTGTGTGCTACGATGCCTGGCTAATTTTTCTTTTTGGGGGTGTGTGTTTGTAGAGATGAGGTTTTGCCGTGTTGCCCAGGCTGGTCTTGAACTCCTGGCCTCAAGTGATCCACCTTGGTCTCCCAAAGTGCTGGTATAACGGGTACACCCGGCCTCGACCATTTCTAATGCTGCTATAAGTCTTTAGTCATATACAGTTTTTTTCACAAGTGCCTTTCAACAGTAAAGAAGCAGCTGTAATATCTCCAAAATAAATTTCTGACTCAGGCAGGGTGCTTTTTATAACATCTATGAGTCAGAAGAACTAAGTTACAGAAACCAGACAGGGGCCCATTTCTTATCAATAATTTTGCTTGTTTAAATGTTTTTCCTCCACTTTCTCCCTGCTGTGACTGCAAAATCCATAGCTTTCTCAATTGTTTAAATTCTTCCCTAGAAGCAAAACTAATGATTTTCCATGTCTAATCAGTGAGAACAGCACAAATTCTTCTTCCATCATGATCAGAATCTTCTAGGGTTATGGACTTCTATTTAAAGTGAGTAAATCCTCTTTTAAACACAGATCTGAGTCACAGATCAGAAAGCCTATGGTCTTAAATGCTCTTGCTCTCCTCCTGAATTTTTCAGAGTTAACACAGGGGGAAACTCACCCCCAAGTATGCAGGGAGAGCTAAGCCTATATAGCATTCCTAAAGGGAGCCCAGAGAGGTCTGGTAAGGTGGAACTTGGGGGAGGGCAGGGAAAGGAGAGGAAGAGGCTGTCTCTCTGCTCACACTCCTCCACACAACTCCATCAATCATCCCGAATCAAAAGAGAAAATTAGCCACGTTATTTTACACTTGAGTCAATTCCGTAAAATCCAAGTGTTTATTTTACCAGTTTCGTTGCTCTCTCAAATGCAAAATACTTTGGAAGTCATTTAAAAACTGCCAGAATAGTTCTTCCTGCACACTGGTTTCTGCCAACTCAATTTGAAATTGGCTCTCTCAGTTCTCTTTTTCTCATGTGCAAGGAACTAGCCAGATCTCTACCTGCAGACGGTAAAATGCTACCCCACGCAACACCAGATTTGCCTTTAAACCAGGTCAGGAGGCTGAGATCAAAACAATGAGGACCGTTGGAGCCACTGGGGAGTCTCCAAAAGGGTAATTACGCTTCTGCCCAGGTCTGGTGGATTTCCCAAAGGCTTGTATTTTTTTCAGAAATGAAGTGGAGGGGAATTGGGGAGAAATTACAGTAAGTTAAGGCCTTAAATGGTCTGGAAAATCTTCAGGTTGGTGTGACATCATGGAAACCTCATCCAGCTCTTTGAAAGTGATCCCAAGGTTTAGCACATTACAGGACTTAACACAAGGCAGATACTTGCTACATATTTATAGGATGAAAGAATAAATGGACTGCTAAACTAAAAAAAGCCAATTCTTAAACACTAAGGATGTTTTCTCATGTTTTCTTTCAAACGCTTTTGTTTGAAAAATGTCAGCATTTCCCATAATCTTGCTTCTAGATTTGATCTCCTCAAATTGATGAATATAAATGTTTCTGGCCCCCAAACTGCTATGGTGGCGCCCACCTCTCTGACCCTGTGAAATTTAAACGTACCACGGAAGGTTGGAAACTTTATGCTTCTGAAAAGATGTTGAAAACCATCATCAACATATTCTGTAGTATTCTCCACATGCTGCATGTGACCATCAAGAAAACATAACTAGTCTGTGAACTGTAGGAGGTGCTCCAGGTTTGCTGACACTCCCGTCAGCTACAGGGTAGGATGGTCAGATGACAGAGGGCTTGCTCTCTCTCCTTGTTTGCAGTTGGCAGTTTTGGAGTTTGCCCACCAGATATGTCATCCAAGAAGACCAAAAGTACAGCAGGATGATTGTGAACAAGACCAGGGACCTCAGCTCTTGAAAAAAAAAAAAGGTTGAAACTATGTACATTCTAGGCTATCCTCAGGTTTGTTCCCAGTCTAGGGCTCCCAGCTTCTTCCCTGGATCAACACCCAGTGGGCATGGCACTCAATGCCTACTCTTTAATCAGTGGTGTACTGATTTGATCAGTAGTTTTCAAACTATGTCCTACGTTGTCTGAGATGTTCTACTCAGGAGCCCTGGTGAGGAATGATGTGTGAGAAAAATTCAAGTATCTCCTCTTCTAAATTGAGAAGTCCTAGTCTTTGTCTTAAAATTGATTTTGTATGTTAGGCTTTCCCTTTTTTATTAGATGGTAAATGCTCCATTCTTCAAACAACAATGATAGCTCAGGAGGCCAAGAATATGTGTTTTGATTTGTTCCTGAAAATCACTGCATCTAACATGAGGTGCTGCTTCCATAGGCACTTAACACATACTTATGAGACTGCTTTCTCTCAACTTCATTTCCACATGGAAACATTTGGAACTGAGTTTCCATTCCTGTGACTTTCATTTGGGAAAACAGAAAAGAACTCAGCCCAGATTTTTCATTAAGCATGTTTAACACAATAATAGTGAGATGAAACTAAGTGTAACAGGTTTCTAAACCTGTGATTTTGAGCTCTTTTGTGTAGGAGAAACAAAGTTCGGTTTTGCCTGGCATCATGGGGGAACTATGATTGCCTGTTTGATATTGTGTGGATAAGCTAAGCTTGCAGAAACTATTGAGATGATTCCCTGGCATGGGACATAAAGGAGTCATTAATTTCATTCCTAAGTGATAGGAAAGCAATAGCCATGCCTCTGGTTGGTTTGTACTTACACAGAGAGAAGTCTACAAAAGGGAGAGCTTCACTTATATACGAATGAACTCTGAAGAGCCACTGAAGTGCCCCGATCACTGAAGTTGTAACCTAGCAAGTGACCCAGTGTTCAATGAGCTGAATGAGGTTGCCATTTCCCAATTAAAGTAGGACCCAGGATGGTAGAACATCAAGGATCAGGAGATTTTCATTCTCAGCTCTACCGCTATTAGCTGTGTGACTATGAACAACTCATTTTGCCTCTTTAGGCCTCAGTTGTATTGTTTGTAAAATGGGAGTCATAATAACTCCATCAAAAGGTTATTGCAAGAAATAAATATCCCCAAAAATCTACCTGACATCACAAATGATCAATTTAAGGTCATCAGTGATTTCATTGGAAAAACGTGGTCAAATCGGTTGATTTGTGTCTGTGGCCCAAAGAAACTGTTGCTGAAGTATTCGTTGCTCCTCATCATTATGACTGGAAAGTGTCCTCTCCAAGATTCATGTTGAAACTTAATTTCCAATGCAATCCTGTTAAGAGGTGGGGCCTTTGGGAGGTGATCCAGTCGTGAGGACTCCTCCCTCATGGATGGGATTAAAGCCCTTAAAGAAGAGCCTTCACACATGGTTTGAACCCTCTTTGCCCTTCAGTCTTCTGCCATGTGAGGATGTGGCACAAGGTGCCATTTGGGAGCAGAAACTGGACCCTCACCAGACACCAGACCTGCCAGAGTTCAAGAGCATTAGAGGCCATGGCAAGGACTTTGTATTTAATTTGGAATGTGATGGAAAGTGGTAAGATTTTTTTTTCTTTTTTTTTGTTTTTGTTATTTGTTTCAGTTTTTTGAGATGAGGTCTCTCTACGTTGCCTAGGCTGGACTGGAACTCCAAGGTTCAAATGATTCTCCTGCCTCAGACTCCTCAGTAGCTGAGACTACAGGGGTGCACAACCACACCCACCTGGAAAGTGGTAAGATTTGATTTATGCTTTTGAAAGATACTTCTGGCTGCTTTGACGGAATAAGAGGTTCAAATAGAGGGCTATTACAGCCAGCCCAAAGAGAGGTGATAGTTATTTGGAGTAAAGTAGTACAGGAAGGAGGACCTTGCATGGGTTTTCATCATAAAGTTCAATGCTGTAATCAGGGGCTGTTAACATGAAACCATTTTTCTCATGCTCAATTAGAACATGGGGCTCTATAATGAAAAAGAAAAATTCAAGTAGAAAAATTGGATTCTAATATTCCCTATCATGTCTCTAATTAAATATAATTTTATATGGAAAATTATGTTTCACATAACACAAGTTCGTGGCCGTGGAGGCTGCTATTGTGGCTGCTGCTGCTGTGTCAGAGCTCGAGGTGTCACTGACCTGCTGCTGCTTTTGCTGCTGTCTTTGCTTTTGAAACCTTTCATTTTTTGAATCCTAAAAAACCAAAATAATTTACAAGAATATAATAGGACACAAAATCTTTTCACAGAATTTATAGAAGTGCCACTAACAGTCTGGAAATGTTTCTCTGACAGTTTGTGTGTATGAGTGTGGGTGTTTTATTTTTAAAGCTTCGAAAGTATAATCTCTTATTTTGCAGGAAGACACACTCCTCAAAAATAATTGGGTTTTACTTGATATAAGGTCAAATCTTTGGGAAAGTTTTTTTTTCTTTTTAATTTTAAATTCAGGGGTACATGTGCAGCATGTGCAGGTTTGTTACATAGGTAAACGTGTGGCATGGTGGTTTGCTGCACAGATCATCTGATCACCTAGGTATCAAGTCGAGCATTCATTAACTATTCTTTCTGATATTCTCCCTTTTATCTTCTCCACCCTCCGACAGGCCCCAGTGTGTGTTTCCCACAATGTGTCCATGTGTTCTCATCCTTCAGCTCTTACTTATAAGTGAGAACATGTGGTATTTGGCTTTCTGTCCCTGCATTAGTTTGCTGAGGATAATGGCTTCCAGCTCTATCCATGTTCTTGCAAAGGACATAATCTCATTTTTTATGGCTGCATAGTACTCCGTTGTGTATATGTACCATATTTTCTTTATCTAGTCTATCACTGATGGGCATTCAGGTTGATTCCATGTCTTTGCTGTTGTGAATAGTGCTGCAATGAACATATGCACGCATGTGTCTTTATAATAGAATGATTGATATTCCTTTGGGTATATACCCAGTAATGGGATTGCTGGGTCAAACGGTATTTCTGCCTCTAGGTCTTTGAGGAATTGCCACACTGTCTCCCACAATGGTTGAACTAATTTACACTCCCACTAACAGTGTAAAAGCATTCCTTTTTCCCCACAACCTCGCCAGCATCTGTTGTTTATTCACTTTTTAATAATAGCCATTCTGACTGGTATGAGATGGTATCTCATTATGGTTTGGATTTGCACTTCTCCAATGATCAGTGATGTTGAGCTTCTTTTCATATGTTTGTTGGGCACATGTATGTCTTCTTTTGAGAAGCATCTGTTCATGTCCCTTGCCCACTTTTTAATGTTTTTTTGGTTGTTGTTGTTAATTTATTTAAGTTCCTTGTATACCTTTGTCAGATGGATAGATTGCAAAAATTTTCTCCCATTCTGTAGGCTGTCTGTTCACTTTGATGATAGTTTCTTTTGCTGTGCAGAAGCTCTTTAGCTTAATTGGATCACATTTGTCAATTTTTGCTTTTGTTGCAATCGCCTGTGGAGTCTTCATGATGAAATCTTTGCCCATGCCTATGTCCTGAATGGTATTGCCTAGATTTTGTTCTAGGGTTGTTCTAAGGTTTTTATAGTTTGGAGTTTTATATTTAAGTCTTTAATCCATCTTGAGTTGATTTTTGTGTATGGTGTAAAGAAGAGGTCTAGTTTCAATTTTCTGCATATGGCTACCCAGTTCTTTCAGCACCATTTATTAAATGGGGAATCCTTTCCCCATTGCTTGTTTTTGTCAAGTTTGTTGAAAATCAGATGGTTATAGGTGTGTGATCTTGTTTCTGGATTCTTTATTCTGTTCCACTGGCCTATGTTTCTGTTTTTGTATCAGTGCCATGCTGTTTTGGCTACTGTAGCCTTTGTAGTGTAGTTTGAAGTTGGGTAGTAGGATGCCTCCAGCTTTGTTCTTGTCTTAGCTGTTCGGGCTCTTTTTTGGTTCCATATACATTTTAAAACAGTTGTTTCTAATTCTGTGAAGAATGTTTAATGGGAATTAAACTACCATTAGCATTGAATATATAAATTGCTTTGGGCAGTATATGGGCATTTTCACACTATTGATTTTTCCTATCCATGAGCATGGAATATTTTCCCATTGGTTTCTATTACCTCTGATTTATTTGAGCAGTGGTTTGTATTTCTCCTTGAAGGAGTCCTTTACTTCCCTTGTTAGCTGTATTCCTAGGTATTTTATTCTTTTTGTGGCAATTGTGAATGGGAGTTCATTCATGATTTGGTTCTCCACTTGCCTGCTGTTTGCATATAGGAATGCTAGCAATTTTTGCACATTGATTTTGCATCCTGAGACTTTGCTGAAGTTGCTTATCAGCTTAAGAAGTTTTGGGGCTGAGAAAATGGGGATTTCTAGATATAGGATCATGTCATTTGTAAACAAAGATAGTTTGACTTCCTCTCTCCTTATTTGAATAGTCTTTCTTTCTTTCTCTTGCCTGATTGCCCTGGCCAGAACTTCCAATACTATGTTGAATAAGAGTGGTGAGAGAGGTCATCCTTGTCTTGTGTCAGTTTTCAAGGAGAATACTTCCAGCTTTTGCCCATTCAGTATGATATTGGCTGTAGGTTTCTCATATATAGCTCTTATTATTTTGAGGTATGTTTTTTCAATACTGAGTTTACTGAGAGTTTTTAACACGAAGGGATGTTGAATTTTATCAAAGGCCTTTTCTGCATCTATTGAGATAATCATGTGGGTTTTGTCTTTAGGTCTGTTGATAAATCACATTTATTGATTTGCATATGTTGAACCAACCTTGCATCCTGAGGATGAAAGCTCCTTGATTGTGGTGGCTAAGCTTTTTTTTTTTTTTTTTTTTAAGACAGGGTCTCACTCTATCACCCAGGCTGGAGTGCAGTGGCGCAATCTTGGCTCACTGTAACCTCTGCCTCCTGGGTTCAAATGATTATCCTGTCTCAGCCTCCTGAGTAGCTGGGATTACAGGAGTGTGCCACCACTGAGACAGAGTCTCACTCTATCCCCCAGGCTGGAGTGCAGT